CAATTGGCGGTGGCCGGTGAGTACGCGGGCCATTCGGATAAATCTTCTCTACTTGGATGATTACGTTTATCGTCTCCCCTTCATCTCGAGCTGTATACGAGAACCTATAGTTATTTTTAGACGCTTACAATCACGTGAATTTTGCAAGAACAAAATCCACGGGACTAGTAGTCCCGTTCATTTGCTGGGTGTGCACAAAAACATGCACGCATAGTAAATAGAACTACTAATCCCGTGGAATATATAGAAACATAATCCATGAGACTGGTAGTCCTGTGGAATTCCTGAAAACCTACAAACCCACACTTATCTGGTGAAATCTGCAAGATACAAACATTAATGATTGATCATAGAACTGTCTAAAACATCAACACTGTCACATCAAATTAATGCTCAAAAGTAATTAACTAAGCACATGCACAAAGGATCCATTTGGTGCTTTGATCTTCACCCGGTTCGCGTCATTGCACTCCTAAGGATCTCAAATGTCTTTGAAGGGTCCGATGAGCTTGAAACTGCCATTAAATTGTTTCCTCCTTCATCAAGTCCTATGAATTGTGAATGACATAAAAAACAAATAGCCTGAGTAAAAGTACCTCCATCTCCTCCTTCCACAGAAGTTAATGTTGATGCATTAGGTACGGAGTGAAATGCAAGGGTTTGTAGTTGGTACAGAATGGAACACATATTTTACAATCAATTATGTGTGTGCTGTAGGCGTCAAAAATTGTCTATAGGTTCCCGCAAGTAGTTCGAAACGGAGAGAATATGATGAATGCTATTATCCAAGTCAGAGAGGATTATCCAAGTCAAAGAGGATCATTCGATGCTAAAAAGAACCAACAAATGCACGTGAAACGTCAAAATGTGTGAAACGACGAAGTAAATACAATCACAAGGACTCTAGAGTGACTCGTATGAAGAAGTAAAATTTGACTATGATGAGATTTGAATCCGAAACATATCAAAAGATAAAAGTTGTATCTATCTTTGTTAGCTTTCTAACGCATCTTGAATCACTTTATTCTGAGGTCAGACCAGAGAATTAAAGCTAAAATACCAAAGACAGTACAAACTATCTCGGAGAATCCGAGTCACCTCAAAGTGACTCCAAAATTCTGAGTCACTTCGAAGTGACTCACGCCCAGGTCAGCTCCCGATGTGTTTTCTAATAAGATTGGCTTCTAGAACTCCTTGGGATCATCCATAAATATGTGGGGTTATCCTTAAACGTGTGAAAGTTGTTACACAACTGAAAACCCACCTAAACGGATAATAATGGTTGTTCTTCGATCCTATCTAGAAACACGACATTTAGAATCTATAAATACACCCCTAGTACCCTCATAAGGATAGATTTGAAGGGAGCCATGAATTTTAGAGGAGCTAGGGTGAGGTTCTGACGAATTTGAGAGAGGCTAGCGAGATCTTGGCGAATTTCTATGCATGAAGAGTGGATTTCGAGAGATCTGAAGCCCGTTCTACCTTTCTTCCAGATCAAACTTAGTTTTGATCTTGA